GAGGAGGAGGAGGAGGAGGAGGAGGAGGAGGAGGAGGAGGAGGAGGAGGAGGAGGGGTGCTGCAGAGGACGCATGTGGCGCTTCGCAGCTGGCCAGCAGCTCTCTCCTGCTGTCAATGCACACTTGAAGGCAGGTCAGCTCCGTGGGGATATCTCGCAGTCCGTGGGTTTCCGTGGCGGCATGGACGCGCTGCAGCCAGAAGGAGTTGGTGAGATCGTGGAAAACGCGGAGGAAAAGTATCGCGCGCTCGCCTTCGACACTGCCCTGAGCACTGTGGTGGCCGTGGCCCTGTACGTGGTGCTGAAAGTCAGCCTGGACGGGTTCAGGCAGTGGAGAGCGCGGATCTCCGTGCTCGTGGTGGGTTCGGGTCCAGTGGGGCTGACGGCCGCGCTGGTCGCTGTCCGCTCCGGGAAGGTGCTGAAACTGACCGTGCTGGACGAGAGGTACCGGTCCGCCCTGCTCTGCAGACCCCAGCAGATCGCCCTGGACCCCCGCAGCGTCAGCTTCCTTCTGGGGCTCGGGGTGGACTTTGACAACATGGAGGGCTGCTGGCACAACGAGCATTTCTTCACCAGGATCGGCGTGTTTCAGGAGCACCTGCTGAGCATCCTGGAGCAGAAGAAGCAGAAGGTGGAGGTCAGGGTGCAGCTGGGAACCAAGGTTTGACTTCTCCACTCAGATCTGCTACCAAACCAGTCTGATTGTAATCATGATGCCGAAAAATGTTAAAGCTTTTGACAAATTAGAGCAAAAATAATCCTTTATTAATCCTGTCAATTTTGTTAAAACTAAACTCATGCAACTTCTTTTTTTTTTTTGTTCCTTTGACACCAAAAAAGATGCTTCTGATTTGGAAATAATGCAGTGAGTTTGCAGAGAAAAGGGAAATAAGATGAAATACTGTTAAAGTCTTTAAAACTATAATCCTCTCAAAGTGGCAGCAAGCAAAAAAAAAAGTGTTTCTTCTTCTCAGAGTTAATCCAGATGCTTAAAATATGGAAACTTATCTCACATGTTTGTGCTGCAACATATAAAACCATTCAAACACTGACATGCTCTCACCTTAGATGTCTGAGAGTTGTCCAAAGCCTTTCAAAGGCTGAAAGCAAAGCTCCTGCGTTACAACCAT